TGTATTAGTTGTTTTTTTTGGTGTCACGCCAAATGTAGAACACATGCTGGATAATTCCTCAGTCCTCTACTTCACAAGGAATTTTTTTTTTTAAAGTGTTTTCAGGGTTCTGACTTGTTAATAAATAAAATATCCTCCCATTCATGTAAAATCTCCTCCACTGGGCATATCTGAGCCTGATACATGTACCATATTAATATCCTTGGTCCTACTGTAAGATATTAATATAAACGGCAGGGTGCAGACAAGCCATGCATGAAGTTATTTCATATTGGGCTTAATGATCCCAACATGTGGCCTTAATTTGTCACACATGTACAAACGAGCATCTGCAGTGGTACAAATGGTCTGTGGATGAGGGAGGATCCTCTTATTATGCATGTATGTATGGAACACTGTTGTGTAGTTGATACCTGATTTAATACTTGTTCGCACTGTTAAATATCAGAGGTCACAGGTTCAAACCCCGCTCTGTTTCTTTCAACTTCGAAAAACAGATTTATTAGTATAATGCACCTTTTCAGTTTCAATTTGTGATTTATTCAATAAGTTGTAATAAGAAGGCCATTTGGAGTGATCCTCGTTTGCTATTTCCCGGGTTTGCGGCATCGCTAATGTTGCTAGCATTGTAAATTTGAGCGCGTTCCCTGGCTGCATGTCATATTACGGGTAAAAGACACTGACAAATTTTGGATTCGCCAACATAGGGCTGGATAGCTCAGTTGGTAGAGCACCGGAACGGCAATCCGGAGGTTGTATGTTCAAACCCCGACCCGGTCAAATTTATTTTTCAACTGTGAGAGAAAAAAATATTATATTGCAAGTCAGATGCTCGATAGTATTATTTCTTTTCAACCAAAATACATAAGAGTAGGTTCTTTCATAATATTTTGGCAGTTTCATTTTCGAATGTTTACAAATGGTAAAAAATATGGTAGCTTAAAAAATATAAAAAAAATAAACCTTTGCAATACCGGCTTACAATTGCTGCCAATTGCCTTTGATTAATATTAATTTTTTTTATCAGTTTGTGAATTTCATTTTTGAACGAGGAGGCTCAACTCAAAAATTCTTTCTTTTTTTTTTCCTTTTTTTTTTGGCTTGCATATTTCAAGCTGCAAAGTCGGAAGGAATCATCTGTGATTAAAATTGCAGGTTGCCATGGTTACTATCATCCAAGTAGCCCTCATCATCTGCATGGCATGCTGAATCTGCAATCATGCACCAACCATCTTTAATTTGTCAAGTTTGACTAATTTTTTTTTTTGCTGAGATCCCCCCCCCCCCCTAATTGTATCCTTGAAATTCTAAATCCAAGTGATGGAGACTGCATTGAATTTAGCCAAACGCTTACAAAATAGCTGAGCCATGGACTTAAGTGTTAACGCTATTTGAGGTCCCAAAGGCATCCTTGAGATAGGCTGGTACCCTTCATGTGTCATTCATTATACATTCATTTATGGCATGTGGGGCCGCTGGGAGCCCTGCCAGTCTTTGAGGGTGGCCTGCACTTTAGATAGTACATGATGTATTTAATACTAATAGCTACTGGTACGGTAGATTAAACATTTTTTGGTGCACTTGTTTATGCACATGAGGCTTGGTGTGGAAACAACAGCCGTCACGTCACGGTGTCACCATAGAGGAAGTCTTGCTTACATTGTATAAATGGAAGGCGAAGGCATCACCTGTAGAAAGTGCAGTTGTACCTGTACTTCATAGAGAAAATTAATGGAATTATATTATAAATAAATGCACTGTACATACATGTACATCATACCGTTACATGTAACGTTCATTGTTGCAAGTGGTAAGCATCATGTTTTAGCGCAAAGTGTTATTCTGACATTCTCTGTAAATTTTTATACATGTTCCATTTTCAATTCAATTTCAAGTTCAATGACAGTTTGACTTTATTATCCGGGAAAACGTTAAAAATTACAAATGAATATTACACATAAAAACACAATACCAGTACTTCACTAAAAGAAAGATATAAAAATATATTATTAAAATTCATATTTTTATATCTTTGGCTTTACGGTAATTAATCTTTCGCTATTTGCGAGTTAGCCAAGCCCCTTAGACAATCTTGTATGGAATCTTGTAGGCCTAGGTTAAGTTTTGTTTGTCTCAGATTTTTGCGCGTTCCGCGTCCCGCGTCCATTTGCATCATGTACCAATTGGACAATATTTCACAATTCTACCGCGATAGGTCAATTATCAGCATCCAGACTCCAACCAGTCCTAAACAGTGTTTACCTCAGAAGCGCACATTTATTCCCTTTAATATTAAAAACGATCAGATGCTAACAAACATATTATAAAATATTAAAATTGAAATGAATCATTATGTAGGTTTTATTTTAATTCTGTATTTCCTGATTAGAAACATGAACAAATTTTGTGTCAAATTATTCACGCACTTGCACGTGTATGGGAAGACAGGTTGCCTACAACCAGTAAATCTTACAAATTGATTGCACGTTGTACAGACATCCATGCAGTAACCCCCTTTGGGAATGCACCACAATGTCAATTTGATCTCAAGAATCGGAGTTGAGGCAAATTATACATTGTACCTTGGCCTGATTGCATCTTGGCCCACAAATCAAGCTCAGCCATTATTTGCATACATGTAGGCCTAGTTTGAGAGAAAAAAAATGCAGCACGGATCGTCGTATTTTAATGATTGATTGCGACATTTGTCAGAACGGTTGATATTAAAAAAGGCCACCATCCAAATGAAAGCGCAAATATTCATTTTCAGTTTTCACGTCTCTTGAGAGCAATGTACATGTACATAGATGTGCGTAGTATTAAAAGTGTTTTACCTAAAGTAAACACATGAAGGGTCACCGAAGCACTCAATTGGCATTAGACACATATATGTACCGTACATGGACATTTTCGTAAAGCTTCCATGCAGTTTGAAATTTTTAATTAAAATGCGTGCGTCACTAAGATCAGGAAAGCTGGGCTACTTGTACAGACATGTACATGGATTATATGTGTTTGTATGCTGAAGGCTTCTCAGGTTGAGTCCCTATCCCCATACTGTGCAAACAAAGTTAATGAACAATTGGCGTTTTTTTAACAGGTTTTGCCACATCCTTGGTTGAAAAGTACATATTGATAAGATGTATTTTTTATTTTATTTTATTTTTTTTGAGTTGGAGAAATTATGTAAATATTAGTATTGGGTTGTGCCTCTTCCGTGGACGTTGTTTTATAAGCACTGTGTACTCAGTGCTGTCAAAAAGCTTTTGAGAAAAAAAATTCGAAAACTTATTAGAGGATTTGATCTCATGGCCTCTTACTTGACATCAATGCATACAAATATTTACATAGCCACCGTCAACCAAGATACATGTAACCAGTGTTGCTGTTGGCCTTTTCGACCAAAAGAAATCGCAGTAAAGGATTTTTGTGAAGCACACAGTGGGATGAGTTAATGTTCATTTCTGTGGGTAACAGCCATTGATCTCCGTTAGTAAGACTGGATAGGACACAGCACCCTCCATCTTGTGCACGTACACGTAGTCATCAGTGAGGGTTTGAAAGTTTGAAACGCGTTTGTCACACACATACCATGCAGCACGCGCACGTCACGCATGCGTGGTCGCAAACGTTAAACCTGCACTGTACTACCCAGCTGTTTGTGTCCGCGTTTTCTGAATCTTCACTGCGCGCAAGTATAGGCATGTCCTATCCAGTCTTACTAATGGAGATCAATGGGTACAGCACAGAAAAGATTGGCTGGAGTCTATGGGTTCCGTGCACAAGTACCCCCTCAGTGATCAGAAAGGGAGAGTTGGGGAAGACCACTGGGAGGGACATTCGTACGCATTGCTGACGGCGCCTGCCGCTCACGCAAACAAGCTATGACTTTGTGCACATTCAGAATAAATTGAGACGTGCGTACTTATACATACCGTGCGCGAACCAGCATGCGTACGCGGTGTGTCCCATCCACTGGGCGCTCGAAAGTGGTCCAAAAAGCGCCCTCTCTGTTCGTGCATGGAGCCATTGTAGTGGACTTTTTACAATCACAAACAGATGTATGTTATGAACATGTACATGTAACAGATGTATTCAATTTCATGGCCACCTGCAAGCCTTAAAGGGGCACTAGGTCCTAAAATCCCAAAAAAATTCCATGTTTTGGATTGTTTACTTATCCTATTTCAAACATCTGGTTGAAAGGAAACCAACCTAATGTCTTACCGTTCCCCAAAAAAGACGGGGAAAAAACGGTTGTTTACATCGGACACGACGGAGTACGAATACGTTTTTCCTGTCGTTCTCAGTCAGTGTACGATATGTGTGTCGGTTAGAATGTACGTACCCCTACAGTGCACACTAATCTCTATTGTACTGCTCGCGAACAGCGGTGACCAATCATCAATGCACGAAATGTGGTTTCTTACACGTCCGCAAAAGGCGAACACTTTACGGATGAAATCACAACTAGCACCCAAACAGCTCGACTTTTTGGGGTCGCAAAAGTGGACCCCGAAAGTCGTTCTCGCAGGCATAATACAGGAATAACACAAAAATGCCCAGCTTTTAAATGATAGTTGTGTGGATGTCTGTATCCTACTTCTAAATGTTCTTTCCGATTAACAACTTTTCATTCAAAGCGCGTTTTGTAGCCCAATTGGGCTGTTCCAGGACGCAGTGTCCCTTTAACTGATTGTGCATTAAGAATGATTAAAGGCTTCTTCCCAAGTTCCCATATCTTATAGAATTGTCATTTTCTTGTAGTTTCCCCCCTCCTTTTTTAATTTGTCTGTCTTAACCTAATTATCCAGCCAGCCGCTCCCCGGCATCACATGACAATAAATCAACAAAAACGGGTCCTTCACCATACGCTCCCACTTACTCGTAAATCGTAATGCCCTTGGGTTATTCATCTCAGCGATACGATCATTTACAAGCAAACCTGCCAATTTTTAATCATCTTGAAAATTCTCAATGTTTTTTTGTTTGTTCCACAGAGGCAAGCAATCGCTGGAGACGATCTGCCTAATGCTGGCATACAAATTGAAGTATCCCAGCAACTTCTTCCTCTTGCGTGGGAACCACGAATGTGCCAGCATAAACAGGTATGTGGTCGAGCAGGTTTATTAAAAAAAATGTGCCTGGGCGTTGGCGCTAAAGAATGCCTTGATTTTTATGACCAAGAATGTGTTGACGGGAGTGGGTAATTTTATGTTCTCACTGTGTATTTACATAAGGACAATTCCACGGTTACTCACGTTACATTTTTGATGTACTTTTGAGTTTCCTTGGGCTGTAATTACCTTACTGAAAAGGTTTAATAACTGTTATCCCCATGGTAGATAGAGTAGAACTAGACCTACCTAAGCACCAAAGATGACATCCAGAAAAATGTGTTATGTATGATAAACAAGATGCACAAATCGGTTACTCACGAAAATGTAACGTGAGTAACCGATTTTGTGCATCTTGTTTATCATACATGTACATAACACATTTTTCTGGATGTCATCTTTGGTGCTTAGGTAGGTCTAGGTCTACTCTATCTACCATGGGGATAACAGTTATTAAACCTTTTCAGTAAGGTAATTACAGCCCAAGGAAACTCAAAAGTACATCAAAAATGTAACGTGAGTAACTGTGGAATTGCCCATAAGGTGTTTCATGGTAATATGCGCCATCTTGTTCACGGGGCAAAAAAAAACCACGCGTTTCTAGACGCGGGCGCATTTTGGAATGACCACATCATGACTTGGAAGCGCCAAAGTTTTCCAATGACGATGCGTACACAGCAACGCGTGTAAAATTGCCCCGTCGGCAAGATGCCGCATATTACTGTGAAACACCTATTTATTGTCTGTTCAAATTTTTTTTCGTAATGCAGGGAACTATTTGTTTCAATCTGATGAATTTTTAATATTTTTTGGTATTACTTTGTAAATATTTTATTGACGCTTTACCTCTGTGCCATGCAGTTGTGTAGGATTTTAAATTCCAATAAATTGTATTTTTTATGGAAGTCTGTCGTCAAAGTACCTTCTGTTGTTATTCAAACATTAGAACTCTGTAAGTACGGGTAGAATACAAGGATATTTGTAAACAAGGAGATGAAAAGGTTTTTTTTTAGTAACCCAATAGGTTACCTGTGGGAATAAAAGCCAATATTTATTAACCCTAACAGAACTCAATCCATCAAACCCCAACGGCATGTTTTGTTGGAATCTGTCAGGATGGGTACAGTACCCCTAAATTGACAGTCTTTTACATTGGGTTGGCACACCTCCAGAATCAAAAGTCAGAAATATGTGTGTGCAGTTTCCCACATGGTGTTGGAATTTGCCGGGATGGGTATGGCTCCTACTAAATCATTCTAGGGAGTTAGGGTTACAAATACAGTTTTGTGCATTAGCTGCGCAGAAAAACAAAAATTATTTAATAGTTTAAACCTTTAAAAAATAAATTTAAAAATATAAGCAACTCGTCAAGGTAGTTGTCCTAATGGCAATCAAATTGCTATTGAAAAGCCTGTACTTAATCTCATTTCAGAAAGCAAGGCTTAATTTTGTCAGCTGTCTTGCAAAGAACAGACAGCCACGCACGATTCTTGCTCCATGACCTGACGCAGGCTAGAGAGCAAACCATTAGGCCACGCTCGGCCGCGTCTTTCACACTCAGTGTGTTTACGCACCCACTCAGCAGCGCCTGCTTGACCCGGTTGGGGTCACCTGAAGGCAACGAGGCCTGGATGACTAATTGGTCATCGCTGTAATGTGACATCTCGCGGAGTCACAGAGACTAATTAGTCACCATTGCAGTGTGGTGTCATGTGATCTCAACCCTTTGAATCAAGGTTGCTCTTGCAGAAATTAAAGGGAATATACAACATTTGCAAACATCGAAAAATAAAACTACCAAGTTTTTATGAAATACCTTAATAGGATGTTGGTAAATAACAGTCTAAAGCATCCTGTAAACTTATGGCACCTGGTGTGAAGTCATTTTCAAGAAAATGGTATTTTTGTAAAAATTTCCAGCAGTGGTCGGCCGACCACCGTTGGGAAACCTAACTATATTTCAACTACTGCTCCAAATTCACCATTAATTCAGTCCAATTTTGTTCGCTATTGGTTACATGTTCATGAACGGGTGCAGGCCAGCTAGACTGGTACCCTTACCTTACAATTTTCCGGCATCTGTAAATTGATCCATTTTATATTTAGTGGAGTCAGGGAACCAGACTACTTGAACAGTTTTGTTTTTCTTGGTTTTTCCAGCATTTTCGAACACAAAACTTCAAACATGTCAGTGTAACAATATTTGATCTATTATACTAACCCCTCAAATAGTTCATTTCTGAAACAAAAAGGCGGTATTATTTGCATTTATGATCCCAAAGTAACCTAGCGAATTGTTATCAAAAACTTAATTGGATTAAAGATTGTACTGTAGGCACTAAACACACGGTGAAATTATTCCATCTGGCTTTAATAATACTGTCATTCAAAGGCAATTTTTAAAAATAAAATCTGATTTCCAACGATCAGTCGATTGACTGATCGTTGGAAATAAAGAGTAATATTTAAAAAATCATGTTTCGTGATCAAAAGGTTGTGCATGGTTTTTCACATGATGCCATATGCCTTTAAAAAGAATGAATAAATAAATTTGCAGCTGAATTTTGTATTAGGTAAATTCAATTCGGGCGATTCACAATGCAGTGCGCCACCAAGTGTTTGCCACGGAGAGTTCGTTTTTTCAAGTTTACGGTCGACAAAACATGGCCCATTTGAACGAGTGTCAGTAGAAAACTTGAGCTAATTTGTTATAGATTGGGGCAAAGCGTTCTGCCGCCTTACAAAAAAAAATCCATATTGATAAAACGAAAAGATAAGGGCAAACAGATACTCGAATCATATGCTTACGAACTTTCTGGCTGGAAAACTAACGATTTTAAATGTCCCGCGCTGCGAATTTGTCGACCATCTCCCACACTGCACTGGGAAAAATGAACTCTCCTTGGCAAACTCTTGGTGGCGCACTGCATTGTGAATCGCCCGAATTTCACACACCATCTTTGAGATGCGTTCTATTGTCCTTCTACATGTCCTTCTTAAAAATAATAAATGCTTGTGCCTACATTTATTTAGCATATAAAAATGTCCTGTCTGTCACGTCACGTCTGTGACAACATTAATGAGCCTGGTGTTTCCAGTTCTACGGTATGTTTTGAATTACTAAGTAAAGTGTTCACTAATTATTGGCTTAAAAGTGATTAACTTTACAAGAAAAAAAACCATTAAATTTCCTATTTCCCAAACAGATCATAGCTTTTTCCAATAAAAGTTGTTTTCAAAATATGGAGTGTAATTTCCGTCCCGTCTGTCACGCTGATTTTACTTCATCACTATACAGCCACTGAATCTTCAAGTTTCATGAATTGTTTTTTAATTTGAAATATAGAGTGTTTACTTTGACTTCTAACCTAGATGGTTACACCTTACATATTGGTTGTGGCAGGCCTTTGGGGAAAAAAAGGGTGAAAATCTGTCCCGTCTGTCACTCCGGAATGGACCGATCCAGTAAGCACCGCCCCATTGTATTCTGACCAATCACAGCCGTGATTTATGTCCGACATGCGTGCACAAAAGTCCGACATGCGTGCACGCGCGCGTATGCGCGCAGTAGGAAAATGCAGTGTGGCATTGGAGAGAAGCACGTGTTAATTCGCCCACGTGCGCACTGGGCGGGGCTTACTGGATCGGTCCATTGGCCGTACTTTATTTTGTTAATGTGAGTGCACAAGGGGTTTACTCATGAGTAGCCCTCAAAGATGGCAGCAGTGCAAACAATCTATGTACATAATATGACATTTCGTCACCGTTTTCACGAAGAGCCACATACAATTTTTTCGATTTTGATTTTTTTTTCAATATTTCGCATTAAAACAATGTACTTAACCATTTTGACATGTTTCTGTAAGCAAAACATCATTAATTTCTAAGTTACATTAATGTTGCAAGGGGCAGAAATCTCGATAAATGCATTTTGCATTTTCACGAAGAGCCCCAAACATTTTGGCCCTTTGAACGCGTATAAAACCCATTGCACGGAAATACGTAAAAGTAGGTCAAATGAGATTTGCATTTTCACGAAGAGCCACATATCTTTGTTACATTTTCAGCTGTGCGCGTACTCACGCGCCTATGGAAATACACGTTGAACAGAAAGGGCCAATATGTCGGAAACCTGAATTTGCGTTTTCACGAAGAGCCACATATCTTTACTAATTAATTTTCACTAATTAACTGCTGTATTAAGTCTTATTACCGGGTTCATGAAAAACAAACTTCAGCTCTCGTAGAATCGTGTGATGGTTTTCTTGCTGCACAAAGTTGTTGCGAAGTAGTTTTTCTTGAAGTTTTAAAATATGAGAAACTTCTTTTGCGATTATCTCAAAAACACTTTTCTTCAAAATCAACATAATATATAGTACGTGGCTGTTCGTGAAAATGGTGACGATTAGTGTGAAGATTTACATACATGAAATAACCTTAGAACAGTCCTGAAGCATCCAATTAAGGAGAGTCGGGGTTAATGGTTTACAGAAATAGAAGAGAAGGTCGACAATGGTACTGAAATAATAATGAATACCTGACAAATAAATATTTTTGAGGATTTGTGTTATTCCGTTATTTATAAAGACAGAAAGGCTATATTCAGTAACTTTAGTCATAGACTCATCCGATATGATAATGTCCCATTGACGTGAATGCAAATGTCTTTTGGCCACCTTAGGGAAAGTTTTCTCTTGATTTTAACCTTTGATTTTTTATTTCTTCTGAACCCTTGCTACAGAATATACGGTTTTTATGATGAATGCAAACGCAGGTACAACATCAAGCTGTGGAAGACTTTCACAGACTGCTTCAACTGTTTGCCAATCGGTAAGGTCAAGCGTTAAAGAGAAGAATGAACATCAGTGAATATCATTTGACTTTGCTTTGGGTCACGTGATGTTCAATCACGTGACTGACTTTTCTTGGTGATTTTTTTTTTTTTTTTGTAGTTGGGCATACAAGAGTTGTACATGCTTGCAGTCCAACATTTTCAAAATCTTGCTAAAAAAATCCAACCGTTTATTTTCCTAGTTTGCTTGAATATTTCAGCAGTTAAAGACATCTTTGGGTGGTACATGTACTAGAATATTGACAAAGTCATAACATTGCATTGCTAATCATTGACTCCAAGATCTAAATTGCCCGATTATCCTTGTGGGAGTGAAAAGCCTATCAGAAGCAGATTTTGTGTCACTTACGATGGTTAAAGAAAACAATCTTTCCGACCCTCCTCCTGGCCGAAGTATCCCCTGGGTAAAAGGCCAGTGCTGTCACAGAAATCCAGACTGGTTCCCGCCTCTGTTGTTATTCAAAGTCAGAATGATAATGTAGCCTGGTAGGGATCAAGAACCAGTTTACCAAACTGAGTACGTGCATTTAGATTATACATGTACATGTATAAATGATTAACAAGGGTTTGAATGGGTGAAGTGCAAGTGTCATTACCGAGCGTGGCCACTTGATATGGATATTTACCCAGGATCTTGGGAATTAGGGCCAGGCTGGGACAGGCCCTGGGGAAAGGTTCACCAAATCTTCGGATTTTGAGTACACCCAAAAGAATGGATTGCAAATATGAAAAATGTTAATTGTGAGTCGCACACATTTTGGCTATCCTGATACATTATCCTGAAATTTTGGGGCATTTTTCTGTGGTCATCTTGGGATTTTCAAATTTGATGTGTGGCCACGCTAGTGTGGACGCCCAGGAACTTCTGATATCTCCTTATCTCATTCCCAGTTGAACATATTTCAAACTCCAGTGAATTTCACAGCACTGTATGGTTTTTGATGTCATATTCACTGTGCTTTTTCTTTCGCGTGAACTATGAGCCAGCCTTTAGTTTGTAGAAATATGATTTACATTTGTTTTTCCTCGCGCTCTCTCTCTCTCTCTCTGTACTTCTCTTCTTTACTCTCTATTGTAGCCCACCCAATCATCTGTTCATTGTGTTTTGCAATTTATCAGGAAAATTAAGGGGCCAACAAAATTTGAAGTGGGACAACAGAGATATTGAATTTTGGTCAGCGTGTGGGTGTTTGTCAATTTGATGCATTCACATCTTCACCTCTGCGGAGATACAAAAATGAAATAAAAAACAAACGATACTGCGATACGTGCGTGGTCCAGTTTGTCTTCTTTCGAAATTGAACCCTCGGGAGCAACAAAAGCAATTTCTGTAGTTGTAATCAATTCCCAGCGGCGGAGGTTTGCTCAGTAACAAGCATCCCGAGGGGTGAGAATGGCAACTAGAAATAGAGCGAATCAGAAATAGCTCAATTGGTCTGACATTTGAGCGCTCAACCACTGACATTCCTTCTAGCAGGGAGAATGTGTACAGTTGTATATAATTGACCTATCGCGGTAGAATTGCGTTAGAATCGCGTCAACGCAGCTTGTCAAATATTGTCCAATTACATCATATACAAATGGACGCGGAACGCACAAAATCTGAGACAAACAAAACTTAGTGTACAAAAACTCCATAGGGTTGTCTAAGGGGCATGGCTAACTCGCAAACGGCAATCGGTCAATTGCTCAGAGAATGTAAATCAGATTTTTTATTTCTAGGTTTGCACAAGTACCCCCTCAATGGTTACAAAGGAAGAGACCACTGGGAGGGACATTCAAACGCGTTACTGAGGACGCCTGACATTCACGCAAGGACGTAATTGCTTTGTGCACATTCAGAATACAATTAGTCGTGCATACATGTACTTCGCGCTATACATGTGTACATGTACGTGGCAAACCAGTATGTACGTGTTCTACATAACCCCCGAGGACAGACACACAAAGGGAGAACAACGGATCCTTTCAGTCCTCGGGAGTTGGGTCTTTTGTTCAAAATGGTCCTCTGTAGTAGGTTCGTGTGCTTAGTCTATGGGAGAGTGTAATATTACAGGGACAATGGGAAACACAAAGCATTGTCCTCAGGAGTATAGTAAAACAAGAGTGTATGCGTACGTGTGTCCTGTCCACGGGGCTCTTCAAAGGGTCAAAAAGTGTGCTCTCTTGGTCACGCACGGAAACCATAGGGCCTGTGCCAAAGATTGTATTACATTTGACACTAAACATTTTAGTACATGTACATTAAAATCCTCCAATGCAAACATACCAGTACAGTTTGTCCAGAGTTGCCATTTCAGTCAAAATCAGTCAAATGACTGTTTTCAACAGTTAAGACCTCCCAGCCTGCATAAAGCAGGATCGACCGACTGTTTGTCTAACTTGTTAAACCTATGCTTTGACTGTAGTTGATTGATAAGGCAGCCGTGCCCAACCACTTGCCTGCTTTTTGTCAGTTGACTGAATTTGACTAGTCACAGTGCTTGCATGAAATATGATCTGACTGTTGGTGACCAGCATGTGTAAAAGGCATGGCAGGGGAAGAGGATTAATTTTTTGACTGTCTGTGACAGTTTCAACAGCAGGAGGGTTAGGGGTAGATTTATTTGTTTTTACACGAGATAACTTCCTTCAATTTATAACTTTCACATACATGACAGCCAAGTACACGTATACATGTACATGTACATGTATGTACCGGTACATGTATTCACTCTCACCTAGCTTTGTACAACACTCATTTAGATACATGATGAGAACGTGTGTAGCCACTCTTGCTTCAAATTCTCTGCAAGTTTTCCCCTTTTGGGATATTGTTAGACCTTGGTCACAAAATGCTGCTATGGACTCTGTGCAGTTAGTGGCATGGGAGGTACACACCACGGGCGCATACTGGTTCATGCACGTATAGGAAAAAGTACTCACAACTTACTTTATACTGAATGTACGCTGACCCAAGTGAGCCTCAGATGCCGATGGTAATGCGTTTGGAAAGTCTGCTCCAGTGGTCTCCCCCAACTCTCTCATTAAAACCCTTGATACTTGTGCGCAGGAGTTCATGCTCTTTTTCTTGCACATGTACAGTGCCTTTGACAAATTGACTAAATGGTCTTGTTTCCTGTCTCTGTTCTCACAGCGGCTTTGGTGGAAGGCACAATATTCTGTATGCATGGCGGGTTATCTCCGGACCTGTCTACTGTGGACCAGCTCAGGCACATCAATCGACCCCTAGACATTCCTGACCACGGCCTGGTGTGTGATCTACTATGGGCTGATCCCGATGACGTAAGTGCAGGGATTATCTTCAGTCTAAGCATTTCCCTCCCCCAGCCCCCTTGGGATTTGTGCTCTAAAATAAAGTATGTTTTTTGCTTAATTTTTTTATTTTTCTGTCAAAGTTTTTTATATTTCACAAGTTCCTCATTCAAACATTGCAAAGTAATCTGGGGAGATCCCCTTTATCCTGGGTTGAACCATTGACCCTAAAAATCCTAGCCAAACACCAGCCCTCTGACAAGAACCGCATGTTTATGTAGTAAAATCCTTATAGTGTGTCTAGCCGGCTGGCCTGGCATGGAGTGGATAATCAGTCACCATGTCGGCAAACACAAGTTAAAGCTGTGTGCAGTCCTCTGACCACTTTAACACATCAAATTGATAGTATACCTGGTAGCGTGGATTTGGACCCTATTCCCTTTTCAAAGTGTACTGTAGTTTACATTATGTCTGCGGAACTGTGTGTGAAAAAAGCAATAGCGTGCTACGTGTTGTCAGCGTGCTAGACTCATACCAGCTCATACTCGATCAAATGTAAGTTTTCTGCATACACTCACCACATTCAAATTGTACGGTGAACGATAGTTGAAAAGCTAAGTCTACTTGTATGCAAGTCTCGGATCATTGTGTATGTGTTGCTTCATGGCGATCGTCATGCTACCACAACATTTTTGTATGTATATGTGCTGTATGTTCATTGTCTACATATGTAAAGTAACATGTGTGTGGCATTGTATCATGAGTACATGTACATGTATTTAGGCCTTTGGTGTATTGCGAAAGTGTCAATTTGTTCTGGCCTTGGAACAAAACCCACTGGCATCCCTTGTGATTGCATCCATAAAGCTTCCTGACCTCAAATCAGAATTTCTTAGAAATAAAATGCAGAGGAAAACTAATGAGAGTTCTTGTTTTTTATGTTTACAGGATATCACAGGCTGGGGGGAGAATGATCGCGGTGTATCCTACACGTTCGGTGGTGATGTGGTGCGACACTTCCTGAAGAGGAACGATCTCAGCCTTATAGTCCGGGCTCACCAGGTCAGAATCAGACATCTCTCTGCAAGGCTGAATCCTTGAAATTCCTTTTAAAGCTGGATTTATATATGAGGCAATTGGCAAAAAAACTAGCAAAATTGTTAGATTTTGAGAAAATGGCCTCTAAATTCTAGATGTTTCTGTATGAGAGCCTTTTGGACTTAAATCTTTATCAGCTCTATGTTTTGGAGGTTGGGTGAAAGGAATCAAGAATTACGTCTCTCGCTGTCATACGGGTAAAAAAACTTGGAGAATTACCGACAAGTTTGGACTCTAGCAGATCATATAGCATAGCATCACATAACGTTGTCGGAGAGAAATCGCAAACAACTGTTTCCTTTTATTGTTCTTCAAATGTTTTGCACATATTGTAACTCGTGGCACATTTTTAGGATTAGCCAGCATAAAGCAATAGTCAAACACCAGCTGGAACTTGAAGAAAATTTAAAGGAGAAACAACTTTACATTTCTCATCTATTTTATTGAATCTGGACGATAGCACATGTTGTGGGTTGGTTTGGATTTCATGGCCAACATACCTATCTTCCAGAGCTCCCATATCCTGAAATTTCAGAGTCTGGTACATCTTTGATGGCATTAATACACACAGTACCAATTTGGATTTTGGAGGTGGGTAACCAGTTTGCCATGAAGCACTTCATCAATCCAATTTTCATATGTGATGGATCGGTACCCTCCCCCCTCCCCAGATCGGTACCATCCCCCCTCCCCCCAGATCGGTACCATCCCCCCCCCCCCCCCCCAGATCGGTACCATCCCCCCTCCCCCAGATCAGTACCATCCCCACTCCCCCCAGATCAGTACCATCCCCCCTCCCCCCAGATCAGTACCATCCCCCCTCCCCCCAGATCAGTACCATCCCCCTTCCCCCCAGATCAGTACCATCCCCCCTCCCCCCAGATCAGTACCATCCCCCCTCCCCCCAGATCAGTACCATCCCCCCTCCCCCCCAGATCAGTACCATCCCCACTCCCCCCAGATCGGTACCATCCCCCCCTCCCCCCAGATCGGTACCATCCCCACTCCCCCCAGATCGGTACCATCCCCACTCCCCCCAGATCGGTACCATCCCCACTCCCCCCAGATCAGTACCATCCTCCCTCCCCCCAGATCGGTACCATCCCCGCTCCCCCCAGATCGGTACCATCCCCACTCCCCCCAGATCGGTACCATTCCAACTCCCCCCAGATCGGTACCATCCCCACTCCCCCCAGATCGGTACCATCCCCACTCCCCCAGATCGGTACTATCCCCCCTCCCCCAGATCAGTACCATCCCCACTCCCCCAGATCGGTACCATCCCCACTCCCCCCAGATCGGTACCATCCCCACTCCCCCCAGATCGGTACCATCCCCACTCCCCCCAGATCGGTACCATCCCCGCTCCCCCCAGATCGGTACCATCCCCGCTCCCCCCAGATCGGTACCATCCCCACTCCCCCCAGATCGGTACCATCCCCACTCCCCCCAGATCGGTACCATTCCCACTCCCCCAGATCGGTACCATCCCCCCTCCCCCAGATCAGTACCATCCCCACTCCCCCCAGATCGGTACCATCCCCACTCCCCCCAGATCGGTACCATCCCCACTCCCCCCAGATCGGTACCATCCCCACTCCCCCCAGATCAGTACCATCCCCACTCCCCCGAGATCGGTACCATCCCCACTCCCCCCAGATCAGTACCATCCCCACTCCCCCCAGATCGGTACCATCCCCACTCCCCCCAGATCGGTACTATCCCCCCTCCCCCAGATCAGTACCATCCCCACTCCCCCCAGATCGGTACCATCCCCACTCCCCCCAGATCGGTACCATCCCCACTCCCCCCAGATCGGTACCATCCCCACTCCCCCCAGATCGGTACCATCCCCACTCCCCCCAGATCGGTACCATCCCCACTCCCCCCAGATCGGTACCATCCCCACTCCCCCCAGATCGGTACCATCCCCGCTCCCCCCAGATCGGTACCATCCCCCCTCCCCCCAGATCAGTACCATCCCCCCTCCCCCCAGATCGGTACCATCCCCCCTCCCCCCAGATCAGTACCATCCTCCCTCCCCCAGATCAGTACCATCCCCACTCCCCCCAGATCGGTACCATCCCCCCTCCCCCCAGATCGGTACCATCCCCCCTCCCCCAGATCAGTACCATCCCCACTCCCTCCACCCACCTCCCTCACATGTGGTAACAACATCTAAGATGAGCACGGACATTTCCATTCATACAAGTTGTCATCCAATCTGTTTTTCTCTCTCTCCCTTCCCAGGTTGTTGAAGACGGGTACCAGTTTTTCCAGAAGAGGAACCTAGTGACGTTGTTCAGTGCCCCCAACTACTGCGGTGAGTTTGACAACGCGGCCGGCGTCATGATAGTCACGGAGGACCTCACGTGCTCCTTCTCCATACTGCCGGTGAGTTCAAAAACTCTCACAATACTGTCAGGTTCTTTGCTCATCCAGGGCCCAGCCTATGGGCTCTGCGCGCAAACAAAGAGGGAGCTTTTCGGCCACTTTCGAGAACCCAGTGGACGGGGCACACCGCGTGCACTTACTTTTCGGCATGGGTGTGGTGTGAAATAATAATATAATAATAATAATCATAGTGCTTATATGGCGCTTTCCATCGTATCAGCAATCTCAAAGCGCTTTACAATTATTACCCTGTTCATCAGGCCATGGGACCACGCGGCAGCCGATATCAGCGCTCAGTCGGTCTTCGACCATCACGGGTTCCCATTTATACTCCTGGGTGGAGAGAGGCAATTGTAATTGAGTATCTTACCCAAGGGCACAAACACCATGTTCCTGGCAGGATTCGAGCCCACGCACCATCGTGCGTGAGTCAAACACTTCTCACACGGCTAAATTTTGAATGTGCGCTAAGCCATAGCGTTTTCGAGTGAACGTCAAGCGTCATCAGTAATGTGTTCGAATGTCTCTCCCAGTGGTCTCCCCCAACTCTCCCTTTCTTACCGTTGAGGGGGTACTTGTGCACGGAGCCCATAATCCTCTTTGTACCTGACTCACTGTCGCTTGTGAAGTAGAGTTGTATAAGTCTCACCTTGGCCCCCAAAAATTTAACTCCAATGACTACCTTAACCCTTGCTGTGATTTTTTTTGTGCTGGAGACTTATACATGTAGTTTGAACATAGAAAGAAAACATTAAAATTTTTGCTTATAAATATGGAAAGTTGCATTGATAAGCATAAGAACCAAAAAGGCACTTAAACACTCTCTAACATGTTGACTGCTGACTATGGATATAGTTGTGACAGGCATACAAGATGTTGCCACTACGAGTACATGTATACTCGTAGTATTAAGTAAAGGCTTTTGTACTGTAAACTGAATATAACTGGCGTCTTTGAAAATGCAACAAATTAGCTGCTGGCAGTTTGAGATCAAAATTCTATTGAATGGTTATGTTTAAATTATCAAATTATTGTTTTTTTATTAAGTACCACATACATGCGCATGCATACATGTACATCGATCACTTGGCAAAGGGGCGCTTCCTGTAAAAGTTTCATCGGCAGTCAACGTGTTAACTGACATTACAAAACTTGACTGGTGTTACACAATTGCACTTCCAGATTCAAGAAGCGAGAGAAAAAAAAACATGTCATTGCATGCTGCCTTTAATGCTTTTGGGTGTAATTTGTTTTTCTCCTTTTCACAGCCCGAAAGCAAGAAGGAGATAGCCAGCAAGAAGAAATAACAAGATGTTGTAGAGAATGGAGATTATAGAATGCTCACCTTGGTCAAAACACATTGCAACAGAGTCAACTTGGTCAACAGAGGGAGTCCTGTTACTGTTCGCCTTATGGATTTCACCAATCAGGCAAGGTTTCACTAGGGAATATGGGAAGAGAGTTGGCATCAGCCCAACCAAAGTAAAAATGTTACAGCTTCAGTGTTTCCATAAAAAAAAAACTAACTAATTGAAATGTGAAGGGAAAAAATGACCAATTGTGACTAGGAAGATAGAAATACACATGGAGCCTTTTTTTTTCATTTGTACTTTTCAGATATTTGACAATGAGTACTCTTTGAGGTAAATTTTCTTCAGTTTTTCAACAACTGCCAAAAAGTCTCAGAGGCTGGGTTTTTTTTTAGCCAAATGCTTTAAAGTTGCTCTCCTTTGCCTTCTCTACAAACTCCTTTTTTGTCTCCTTACAAATTTTCAATTTGTATGTTTTATTTTTCCCCTCCTGCTGTTTGAACAGTCACAGACAGTCAAAAAATCAATCCTCTTCCCTGCCATGCCTTTTACACAGGCTAGTCACCAACAGTCAGATCATATTTCAAGCAAGTACTGTGACTAGTCAAATTCAGTCAACAGACAGAAGCAGGCAAGTGGTAAGCACAGCTGGCTTATCAATCACCTACAGTCAAAGCATAGCTGTATCAAGCTACTAAACAGTCACAGCCAGTTAATCCTGCTTTATGTAGGCTGGGAGCTCTGAACTGTTGAAAACAGTCACTTGATTGATTTTGACTGAAAGGACAACTTGGCACAGAATGTATGTTTGCATAGGAGGGTAAAATGAAAAGAGAATTTTCCTAATTTTTTTTTAAAAATCTATTTGGTGTCCAAAACTCTTTGAAAAAAAGGCTTTTATTATTAAATTGCTTTTGCACCTTTCACACACAAAGAGATCTGTCTGAATAATTGTTGGGGTGCAACTTATTCGAAATTTGCAAAAGTAATTATTCAATTACTAACTGTGGATTTTTGTTTGATCTCTCGTTCCAATGTGAATTGTATTGCTAGAAAAAAAGAAGCAAAAAAATATACATTTTGGAGTGTGAAACTAAAAAAAAATACTGGGAGAGCAACTTTAAAACAAACGTAAATGATGGTATACAAATAAAGAATGTTTATGAGTGCAATGGTAAGAATAATGTCATGAGGTGACAGATGGAATGTTATCCATCTGTCACCGAATGAAATTATTCTTTCCATTGCACGAATGTGAAACATTCCTTATCTGTTTTATACAATACCTGAGTAAATCCTCGTCATCTGATTGGTCAGAGCGACCAATCATGTGACCATGCAATGGAAGTTCTATTTACTGTGGAATAGAACGGCTGGGCCGTGGGTTGGGACGAAGATTTCAAAGACGTGATCAACGACCCACGAATCAGATGACAGGGATATATTCAGGCATTGTATAATATTCATACACATATGGGGTTTTTGAAACCTTTGCTTAGTCTTCGGCTTCGGTTTTGCCTTCGACTTCTGAATCACTGAGAGGCTACTAAACAAAAATATTGCAACTTTTGGCTTCATGTCAACCGACTGAATGTTCCTGAAGCATAATAGGCGCCAAAACGTAGCTGGAGTTCCCGAAGTTGGGGGCCTAAAACCTCTTTACGCCGAAGACGAAGCCAAAGCCAGTCATTTCGAAAACGCTGATAGTTCTTGCTTGAGCTTGTAAAGTCCTGCCCAGCTATTGTAATCACTCAAATATACACAACTCAAAAAAAAAAATCAACTTGCCGCACCTCAACTCACAAAGTCAATAACAGAGCAGAAAAAAAATCTATACATGTATATTGACCAAATATTGTAAATACGAGTTATTGCGCAAAAGGTTGTTGACATTTCTCTGAAGTTCGAGTTTAATTATTAGATCAACTTTTTTTTTAAGCTGATTAAGGATGTTACACATAAAGCCAGTACTTTTTAGAATTGTTCCAGTTTTTCTGTAAAAGTATTTAATTAATTTGTTTTTCTCCAGTGTTGAACATGTATGAGTACTAACTTCCTTGGCCTAGTTCTTGGTAATCCAGTAAATCCACATTCCTTATCCCTGAAGTTTGCACTGGCTAACGTACACAGGAATAGGATTTTTCCGGATTTTTTCCCGGACTTTTTTCCGGAAACCTAAATCTGAAGTTTTCATTATTTTTGGGTCAAAAGTTTCTACGAAAGAATTGGCAGTTTATTTGGAGTGCCTCTGTATGCAAATATGCACGCAGGTAGCTAGAGACCCTCTGTTACACCAGGGCTCCGCTAAATATGTTTTGTGGAATTTGATTTTCATTTTTTTTTTTGATTTTTAATTTCAATTTACAATAAGTATTATAATTTTTCCTGCCGCCTAAAACACTCGATCCCATCTCTAATTGTATTCATAAATTAGACAGAAGGCCAGTACTTCAAAACATTTTCAAATTGTATCATATAAAAAGGTACTACTCTAAAAACTAATGTGAAGTATTCAATGATGCCACTGTAAGATAAATGCGTTTAAAAAACTGCCACCCTACAAGCTTCCAACCGTCCATATTTATGCCTTGTTTTACAAAGCCTTGAAGTAGACCGCTGGGTTTTCAACGGCCAAGTTCATGGGGCTGCTTAGGACAGAAATATGCTAAGGAATGGTTCAGCTGGAATGGGTCAGCAGTCAGCAGCCAAGACGCCATGCGTGTTCTTGGCTGATTCTATTGAGAACCGTAATTTCCTGTTACAGCCGCGTAAGATCATTTGCAATTACCCTCAAAAGTACATACCCATTTAATGACGGAAACATTGCGCAAAGTGAAGACAGGACTGGTATCAAATACCTTGTTCTGCCTGAAATGGTCTAATTTCGAAGAAATCTACTAACATTGAAATGTTTAAGTGAAATAATATTTGTAATGCTTATATAGCGCTTTCCATCAACAATCTCAAAGGGCTTTACAATTATTCCCCGTTCATCAGGCCATGGGACCACGCGGCAGCCAATATCAGCGCACATTCAGACCTCTACCCTCACAGGTACCCATTTATTCTCCTGGGTGGAGAGAGGCAATTGTAGTTAACTGTCTTGCCCAAGGGCACAAACCTCATGTTCCTGGCAGGGTTTGAACCCACACACCATTGTACATGAGTCAAACACCTGGACCAAGGCATTCTACAATATAGTGTCAGATAATATGGAAATTTGAGCCATTTTGTTACTTTGGGGAAAAAAAAGCAAAAACAAAGCACAAAAAAGCAAATGATCTTATGCACCTTTAAGCATTATGATTTTTGGCTTATTTATAGCAGCCCGCAAATTTTGCCCGTGTCTCACACAAAAAGCAACTGGTCTTTGGAAGATACACAATGTGCATGTACTGTCTGGCTATTGTGTGGAGGTTTTTTTTTTTTGCCTTCTAAAGAATCAAACATAATTTCTTAATTGAGTATACCGGTGTCACGGTCTCACTTCTCCGGCGTGCTAGCTTCTCCGGGTTGATTCGGCGGATAATTGAGCACGTTACAGTGCACGTTACTTGAGTACGATTCATGCTCATGTGTCCGCTGTGCTTACTTTTCCTCGGGCTGTTTTCTGAAGTCTACCAAGCCCATTAATAACACAGTGGGGGATCCTCAAGAATGTGTTATGTAACACTTCCTGTGGGTCAAGTCATTCCATGGTCTTGCAAGCATTCTGATTTGCGTTCCCAGCGTCATGCATGTGTGTGTTCATGGAGGAATAATTAAGAACGAACTCCTTGGTCCGTGTTCCTTGCTCGTTCGTGGTCCATTTTGTCCTTATTTTTGCCACCACGGCTTAAAATAAATGTGCATTTCAAGTCTTTAATATTGGGAGTTAATAGTGCGCGCCACGAAAATTCTATGCATACAAATATCTTAAGATCTTACGTACACAAGTACAGCCCCGAAGAACTCAGCACACTAATACAGTGACGAAAATGTACACTACTGCGCAATTTTGTGCATGCGTGTTGAAGCGAAATTTCCCTTTTGGAGAAGCTAGCACGCCGGAGAAGTGAGACCGTGACACCGGTAGTTCTTGAAATACAATAGGAAAAAGAAAAAAAATATGTGGAAACATGACTTTTATGCACAATTTCAGCACAAATTGTACGGTGTCATCCACTGATAATGCACAATATCTAGATTTTACCACATGTGTTGGTAGCATAATACAGTACATATGTACAGTCTTCAGAAAGATTCTTCAAATTTAACTGAAAAGAATCTAAAAATTTAAGTACCCGAAAGAAAGAAGCAAGTTGTAACATGTATGAAAAAAATATTGTAAAAAAAAAAAAAACACTTGTTTTTAAAAACTTCTGTATAAAATAGTTTTCACATCTCTAACTTGTAAGATTTTGTTTGTTTGTTCCGTGCAATAGTAATGATTGAAACTTCACCAAAATAACATTGTTTTATGTATATTTGTAGAAAACTTTAATCCTTGAAATACGAATTCCTGTTATTATTTGGACACTGCTCTTAGCTTTACAGCTCAAATGAGTAATGCATCTCAAGTCGTTTTGTTTTTTTAATCTGTTACAAATTTACTTATTTTGTTTGTTATTTGGAGCCTATTATGAAATATGCGTTTTCTCGCTTAGAGGTTTTATTTAGAACAAAATTTTTAAGGAGTATGTTGTAAAATTTATTTTCTTACAGACATTTCTGCTTACATATCTGTTATGTACTAAGCTATAAATTAGAATGTAGTATGTAGACATATTAAGGATGTGACGTTTACACGTTTAAACGTTTAAACAAACAAAAATTCTAAATCCATTTACAAGTTTTCTAAACGTGTAAACGAAACCTGAATTATACACACAAAAAATGGGACCTACATGTACATGTACATGTACGTTCACACGATACACAGCACAAATAATTAACGACTATTGCAAACCTATTTACTTTACAACACCTTAGAAGCACTGCAGTACTTGATTGCATTTGAGGTACACGCAGTGAAGTTTTGACTTTGTCAATGACTGCCTGCTATTTATGTCAGTCATTGTTGATTTATCGTGTTGAACACGCCTATCTGCAGACATAATGGGCAGGCGGCGGCCTTTTGCCAAATGGCTAAACGTTTAAACGGTTTTTAAATTATTTGCTAAACATTTACGAAATGAAACGCAAAGTCACATCCTTCAGGCATATACAGCCAGAGTCATTAGTGGAAAAGGGAAGGGGCCTCATGCGATAGACTGATTTATTATGATAAACATTCGTGCACAAAAGTCTGACATGCATGCATGCGTGTACGACATGCGTGCATGCGCGTACGACATGAGTGCATGCGCGTACGACATGCGTGCATGCGTGTACGACATGAGTGCATGCGCGTACGACATGTATGACTGAAAAATGCAGTGTAGGACCGGAGAGGCGTGCGTGATCATTGCCAATGAGCGCTTTGGTTGGGGCCCATTGTGTAGGTCTATTTAATAGCCATCGCTCTGCCAGCAAGTTGTAAACTTGTCTTTTTTTCAGTCATATTG